CTAAGCTTGTGATGATTAGACTGAAATTTGATCTTGTGTTGACTCTGTGGTATGTGGATTCGAAAGAACTAACTAATGTGGTGTTCCTGATGTTTAACTGGTTGTTTCTTGTTTTCAAACCTCGACCCTATTCTCTGTCTAATGTTTGCTTGAGGGCAAGCAAAAGCTAAGTCTGGAGGAGTTGATATATCATGGTTTTTATGGTTTTTAACCATGATAAAAGTTCTTTTTATTGAGTCTTTTTGGTCTTTTTAGAGTCCTAGTAGAATCTTTGCAGGTTATAGCATGTCTGGAGCATAATTGGAGATATTGAAGCTTTTTGGAGCATTGCAAGTTGAAGCCACGAAGTGTCCTGATCGGAGAAGAAAGTATGCATTTGGGTGCTGCTCATCACCACTTATGGTGATGCTCGTCACCCACAAAGGAAGGAGCGTGGTTGATTTGTTAAAAGTATCAAAATTATTTGCAGAATTGACCCAGAAGTTCTAGTGTTTGCAAGAAGGCCTCAGATCGTGTTTTAGCTTCTATATATTAGGTTTTCAGCCATTGTTGGTTTTTATCTTAGTTTTTGAGAATTCAGAGAGCTTTAGAGAGGATTTTATTGAGAGCTTTTGGGGAGACAGATCATGTACTCTTTTTGGAGAAAATTTCGAACCCCCTTTGTTTTTATTCTATTCTCTTAATGCAATTTTATTCAGCTATGTTTTGTGATTCCATGATCATGTCTGAGTAATTTTCTAGTTAGGTTAGGGCTTTTCAAAGGTTAATGAAGAGTTTGTAGAATTGCTACATGTTAGGATTATCTTCTTGTTCTTCATCTCTGCTTGCTTTAAAATCGAATTTCTTATACACATCATCTAGAAATCCGAAAATCATAGGCTGTTAAATATATGTGAGAGCATTATTGATAACCTGAACTAGTATTTGATGAGCAAAACAACTTAGTGCAAAAAGATTTGGCTTAGGAGTTTTGTGAACAATTGAACCTGATCATTACTGCTTGTTTAGATTGTTAGGGTTTGCAAAGAGATTTCAAACTCTGTGATTTAGACATAGATAACTTCTGCAATGAGAATTGATTAGTTATATATTTGCGATTCATGTTGAAGGCAGTTCTTAATCATTCCTGATTTCATGCATTCTACATTCTCGGATTCCACCTGTGAATTATCCTGACTTAGCGTTTTTAATCTTCTAGAACTTAGATCAACAACCAAATTTTGTTTGCTTTCTATTATTTTATCATTCGCATTACATACACCATCTACTGCTTAGCTTAATCTGAACCTATAATCGATAGTGTAGTTTACATACTCATTTGGGATTCGATACCCCTTGTACTACAACTGCTTTGCTGTGCACTTGCAGTAGTTTTATTTGGGTAAAATCTAAGCCCTATCAGTAACTAAGGATAAGGAAAAGGTTAGTTCTCTCTAGATAATGTTTGTGGCTCCTTTTCATACCAAGGAACCAAAAATAAAAGAGAAAAACCTAAAAAAATGGAGAAGGTCAAAGAAAGATTGGTCAACGTGCGGATAAGTTGTATCGCACTGTACGAATGGTGTTCAGCTTAATGCACCACCTCGATGCACGTCTTCCGTACTGCAGGTGATCTTCTCGGATGTGTGCTCGTCCTGATGTGGAAATGGGCTGTATCGGGCAAGGTATCGGATGTTCTGCTGGATGCTGGAACCCGATATGCACTGTATCTCTGAATCGGCTCGTACGGCCCTCCTTGCTCGATAAGCCTCCTCGATGTAAGCCAACCCCTTCGAACCCACGACCAAGTCTTCTTCTCCATGTACTGCGGTCTGCATCGAGCACACTCCACAGGTGTTCTGCTCGATATTCCTCCTCGATATGGACGTAAACTTTGCAAGAATCCTTCTTATGGCATCTCCTTCAATGTATGCTGCTCAAATCTCCTTCCCAAGTTCCAAAACCTCCAACAGTAGCTGAAAAACACCATAAACATGCATATGTATGCAATCCTAAACTATATGCATGTAATGTTATCTCTAGATGATAATGAGACTAAAATGCTAAGTAAATATGCAAAAACGAGGGAAAAGATTAGTGAAATACAGCCTAAATCACTAGAATATAGCAAGTTATCATGTAACCGTAAGGCTGTTTGCAGGCCATGTTTTCTAAGACAAATATAATGCAAGTTGTAATTATGAGCACAAGGATTGAAAACGAATTTTCGTGTAACACCCGGTTTTTCAAACCATGACTGTTTGTTATTCAAACCCGAACTAAGACGGTTCAAGGCCCAAATTCCCATGTCTTGATATTTCCTATTGCTTTCGAGAGATAAAGATTTTCTGGTTTTAGATAATATTACATTTCTAATGTGATATTAATGAACTTATTCCTAAAAGGATCTGTAAATATTCTTTCTAATAATTATCCTTTTTTCGTGGTTATCTCTACTTCCTGTCCAAGTCTCCCATTGGGTATAAAAAGAGAAGCCTTCTCTATTATTCTTCTTCATCCTAAACTTTCAGAAAAATGAGAACCGTAATACTCTTTTCTCTCTCTGTTTCTGGCGCCAAGCTCTCTCTCTCTCTCGCTGCCGTTGCTTTCTCTCTCCTCTTTTTCTCTCTTTGCTGCCGCGTTCCCTCTTCTCTCTCTCCTCGCCGCGAGATGTCTTGCCGCTCGCTATCTTTGCTGTCAAAGCCGTCTGACGCCCGCTCCGGCTGTCCGAGGAGGCACAGCCCCTTCCCGGACCGGACGCCCTCACCTGCCGCCGCCACCGAGGAGCCTCGTGTCCACCACCTTCGGGATGGACCCGTCGCTGCTCTGGTGTGGCACATCGACAATGCGCCGGACTCTTTCTGCAGCTACATGCCATCGCCGTTACCGTTCAACCAGCCCGTGAGGAAGATCAACCCGGCATGGCTCGCCGCCGTGGAGCACTTGGCCACGTTCGACATTCCTTACCTCCCCTTGCCACCTCCTTTGCCTCCTTGGCCAAGGTGATGATGAATTTGTGGTAGAATATTGTGTGTCTTGCTTTTCTGAATGCATAGTTTGAGGTTAAACCAAGTATAAACTACTTTATACTTTATAACTGAGTATCAGTTAGGTTTTGTTAGGTTGCTATTTGTTATGTGGATCGCTTAGATGTGTTTAGGGATTTCGAAACTGAAATTGCAGAACATTAAAATGAACAATTGCTTGTGTATGGCGTTTGATATGAATGTTTGCTATGTGTCTACATTATTTGCTGTTTGATCATTTAGTACTTGTAAAGAGGTAACGTGTTTTCTTACACGTATGGTTATCTTAACCCTGTCACTATCAATTTATAACTGAGGGAAGTGCGGGTGTTACATTTCGATTGCTCAAAAGGATGCTCTTAAAAAGGCCAACCTCTCTTGATTTGAATTATTGGAATTTTTCTTAGACCACAGAGAAATATTTCAAAATCTAGGTAAATTTGATACTGTGATTAGGTAAATTTGATGATAAGAGAAGGCTAGTATCAGATGAGAAGAAAAAAATATACAAGGGTTTGTATTTCTTATTATCATTTGGCTTAATGATTAGTTTGTGAAACCAAGAGAAAATTACTTTGGACACATAACTTTTGAGAATCGCTGCATTCATTTACAATTATGGATTTTTCGTTCACTCTTGAAATTAAAGAATTCTATACTTGATAAGAAAGTTTTTCCAAATTAAAATTAATGATTGCAAGACTCAGACTTTTTGAGGTCATACAGTTTACAGTTTGAAAGAAAGAGTTTAAGAAGAACAAGGATAAATATAAGTGTAAGTTTATAAATCAGCATAAAATTTAGGGAAAATCTAAATAAAGTGCAAGTAAATGTAACATGTAGATTACATTTGAAGATTTGGTAATAATAATAAAAAAACATAAAATAATAAATTTATTTATGGTAAAAAAAAGTTCAGAATGATTAATCGTGATGTATTTTCATTTTATTTTATTTCTGGCTTTATATTTTTATAGAGTATTTGTTATTTATAATGTTATATTTTATTTATTATTGTTATGTTTTTATAGATTGGTATTTTTTAGTGATATATGATTTTAATTATATATGAATAGATAGTTTGGTCGCTAATTATATATACTAGGTATATAACTCGTGCTACGCGCGAATCTGTATTAATATTTTAGTTTATATTTTAGCTACTATCTTTAAAATTATTAAAAATATAATATATTTATAGAAATTTTCATTTATATAAGAAAATTTAATATATAATATGTAATTTATCCTATTTTTATTTATAAACTTTAAAAAATTATTAGGTAAAATAATAACAATGACATCTATCAAATTATCTAACTTTGACGTACATATACATTTGATTTAGAGAAATATAATTTTGCTAAGATTTTGGTATTATTTTATGTTTTCCATAGAATTTCTATAGTTCTTTTTTTCTTGAAGGTTTATGTGTTCAAATATTTAGTTTTTTTATTGAAAGTCTTATTGATGGTGTGTACCACTGCATATGTAATCCATGATTCATATTGATTCGCATTTTTTTCTTGTCCATCATATCTTCCAAAAGTTTTATGTTATATTTTTATTCAGTTTTTATTATTTTAATTGTTAGATAGAGTTGTTGTAGATTTTTTTAAATTGATAATGATTACTTTTTTTTAAAACATGTATTGTTAATTGTTAATTTTTTTTATTTAACTTTTAAAATTTTAAACTATATTAACATTTTCTGATTTAATAAATATGTTGATTTGAATCAATCAGATTGAATTAACTTTTTTTGTTGGACATAATTTGTTAAATTAACTTTTAATATTTTAATTATAGTTAATAATTTTTAGTTTGATTAAAAAGCTGACGTCGACCAATTAAATCAATTTTTTTTGTCCTAATCATAATTAACATTTTTTATTTAATGATATACTGATGTGGACCAATCAGATCGAATTTTTTAATCTTATGCGAACGTCTTTAATACATTGCGCTTTTAATTTTTATATATTATATAATGTATGTGTATATTTTAGAGTTGCGCATTATCTACAAAATTTTCAAAGCAATCCCTAGAAACTATTTTCTTCGATATAGTGGTCATTCTTTATTTTATCAGGTAAAGACCCAACCCTAATTCGTTTCATTCTCTCGTTTCTTCCCCACAATTCTCAACTTCTAGCCGTCCTAACCCTAGGGTTCCCAATTTCTCAGCTGCACGATCGGCTCTGATAATTTGGTAATTTAATCTTTCATTCACCATTAATTTCGTGTTGTTTAATGAAACAAGGCAATGATTTTTTGATTAAGTCAAAAATCCTTCTTGAGCAATGCGAATTGTCAGTTAAAAGACGATAGAGACTTTGCGAATTTAGGGTTTGTTCTTTGTGTTTATTAATTTCTGTTAGGATATAGAGGATGATGGATGTCTCAATTTTTGTGAGATTCCACTGTTCTCTTACTCCTTTGTTTTGAATGTTTCTTTTTTTTTTAAGTTGCGCCCAAATTTTATCACAATTTAGTGGTTTTAAAGACTGGAACTGCTTCTCTTGATCTCTTTTACTAAAAAAACTTTTTCTGTGATTAAAAAACACTTAACCTTCTCTCCGGGAGATTGAGATGAATCTTTGAATGATCATCTATTGCAATAAGCATGAAAGTATTAATTTGGTATTAATTCAGAATCTGTTGCAGGGACATTTGTGTGGATTTGATTGTACACAGTTCTAGTCACATTGGCTTTTGCTGTGATTTGCTATCCAATTGTTCTATTTAAACACCATCATTGCAAATTTTTGTTTATATTTATAAAATTTGCAGGCTTGAGATTTTACTAAAATGATCATCATTGTTGTCCTGTCTTGGCATACTAGACTTACTAGACTTACTTTCTCACCACCTTCGGATCTATTTGTCTCAGATTACTTAAGACAATAAATTTTGGTTTGTGTGTTCTGATTTAACTTATTTCGTCTGTTTTGACTTGTTCAGGGTTTTGTGGGTATGGGAAAAGGTAAGCTTATATTGATTTGTCAATCCGGTGGCAAGTTTGTGACGGACGATGATGGAACAATGACATATACCGGAGGACAAGCAGAAGCGATAAATATTAATCATGAAACCTCTTTTGATGACTTTAAGCTAAAAGTGGCGAAATTCTTCAACTTGGACTATCATTCTTTGTCCCTCAAGTATTTTCTCCCTCTAAACAGAAGAACCCTTATCACCATGAAACAAGAGAAGGACATGAAAAGGATGTATGATTTCCATGTGAGCTCTGTCACAGCTGAAGTTTTTGTAACAGGACAAGAAGGATTTCACTCTGAACGAGTTGTGTCACCTGGTAAAAGGTATGAACTCTTGGTTAATCATGTTTCATGCAAGCAATTGTTTTAATCTAATCTGTCAAGGAATGTAGTAGATAGCTAACGAATGATGTATCAGTTTTGCAACTTTTCAGAGATAATGTTTGTTATGTGATAATATTATCTCTCGAATTTGTTTTCTTGCGTCTCTGAAATGCTTGAGAATTGTTTTTCGTTTAGTACATTACTATTAATGTAAGATAAGATATTCAGTGTTATTGTTTTTAAATATCTACAAAAAAAACGATGTCTCACTATTATTACATTTTTCCTATAAATAACTCATGTACCCTGTTTACACAGGAAGTTGTTGTTCATTAGTTGGGTAAGGGTTAATCTAGGTTTTTTAGTCTTATCGCTTATGATCAAAAATGGAGGAGAATAAGACATTCTGTTCAATGGTTGTATATTCATTTTCTGAATTTAATTGCAGGGCATATAATATAGCTGTTGGAACAGAGACTACACAGGTTGCATACGGGAATGTAGCCAATGTACCCATTGAAGTTGCCACAGAAACTCCTGGAGAAAACAGTCTCGTTGATGTTACTCTAAGATCTAGAAAGGTCTCTTCCATAACTACTTCTGAATCCGGTGGCCTTATTGACATTCCCCTAACGATAGCCACCGATCCAGTGGTACCATCCAAATCAACCTCGAAAAAACCCAAGAGGAAAGGGAAGAAGAACCTTGTTTCGAGTAACTCTAAACTGACTCCCAAAAGTTCAAAGCAATCATTCGTACGTTGTAATACAAAAAGCTACTCTCCGACGTCTTTGAGTGTTGTGTGTGGTGTGAGTAGCAGTTCCCCTGTAAGTGTTAGTAAACGAAGACGGGTAATGGAAGAACCCAGCATTTTGCTCCAGGATGAAAATATTGGGGATTCAAGGAGAAGATCCTTAAGAAACAGGGGAGAAACTCGAAAGCCTGTAATAGAAACTGATGATGATGAAGAATATCTCTTAAGTGACGAAGATGATGCTGACGATGAGGATGCTGATGATGATGATGATGATGATGATGATGTTGATGTTGATGTTGATGATGACAAGGATTATGTGCAGGACAGTGATGCCTTTTACCCTGAAACTGAGGATCTTGACTCTGCACGCGAGATGAACTATTCTATATCTGGTGCTAACGATGGTTCTGTAGAGAGCTTGGTTGCCTCATGGAAACGTTGCATTACCGGTGTAGGTCAGGGTTTTGAGAGTGTCGTTGAGTTTCGTGATGCCCTGCAGAAATACGCCGTTGCTTGTCGTTTTGGGTACAGATTGAGAAAGAATGAATCAAATCGTGCATGTGGTGTTTGTTTAGTCGGAGACTGTCCTTGGAAGATTTATGCATCATGGGTACCATCTGAAAGCGTTTTCAGGATAAAAAAATTCAATAGAAGGCATACTTGTGGGGGAGAATCTTGGAAATCTGCTCATCCGAAAAAGAACTGGGTTGTGAGTATCATCAAGGAGAGGTTGCAGGAGAACCCGAATCAGAAGACTAAGAACATCGCGGACTCTATTTTCGAAGATTTTGGTATTGAGCTTAGTTATTGCACTATAAGACGAGGCATTGATGAAGCAAAAGGAGGACTTCATACGTCATTCAAAGAGGCATATAAGCATTTGCCCCTCTTTATGAATAAGGTAGTGGAGACAAACCCGGGAAGTATGGTTGATCTCGTGGTTGGCGAAGACCGAAGATTTCAACGGCTTTTTCTGGCTTTTCGATCTTGTATCCATGGATTTCAAACTGGTTGCCGGCCGCTTCTCTTCCTTGATGCCATTCCATTTAAGTCTAGGTACCATGAGATTTTGTTAACAGCCTCTGCCTTGGATGGAGATGACGGCGTGCTTCCAGTGGCTTTAGCCCTGGTGGATGTGGAAACTGATGAAACTTGGAGATGGTTTCTTGAACAAGTGAAGGTATCTGTGCCGAGTTTACGACCTCTTACCTTTGTCTCTGACCGAGAGAAAAGACTAGAGAGTTCTGTGCCGGAGATTTTCGAGAATGCTCATCACGGCTATTCCATACATTACTTGATGGAGGATTTTATGAGAAGCCTGAGAGGTCCATTTCTTGGAGACGGGAAACCATCTTTATCGTACTATTTACTGGCTGCAGCGCGGGCTGATCGACTCGACGGGTTTAAGGTTTACACTGAGCAGATAAAACGAGTGTCTCGTAGAGCTTATGATTGGGTGATGCAGATTGATTCAAAGCATTGGGCCAGTGCATTGTTTGAAGGTGAACCATACAGCCATATAACTTCAGATGTGGGAGAGATCTACTCGAAGTGGATCGAAGAGATTCAGGAGACTTCCATCGTCCAGAAGCTTGCGGCGTTTGTGAGTAGAATTGTGGATTTGGTAAACAGTAGCCAAGTGAAGTCACAAGAGTGGTTCACCCAACTTGTGCCATCTAAAGAGGAGAGTCTAGTAGAAGAATGCAAGAAAGCAAGCGTACTAAAAGTTTTCTTCTGCTCGGACACGCTTTTCGAGGTTCATGACGGGTCTGTTCAGCTCGTGGACATCAGTAACCAAACCTGCAGCTGTTTCGGATGGAAACCCACTGGTCTTCCTTGCCAGCACGCGATTGCTGTCCTAAACACAAAAGGAAGAAATCTATATGACTATTGCTCAGTTTTTTTCACTGTTGAGAATTACCGGTCGACGTATTCAGAAACTCTGGGACCAGTTGCGATCGACTTAGCTTCCGTGGAGAATGAAGGGAGCAGCAAGGAAGAGGATGAACAAGTACTTCCACCTCTGTTTTCTCGGGTTCAGGGAGTAGACAAGAGAATCAAAGACAGGAAGAGAGGAAGATCCGTGTGCTGTACAAAGTGTGGAGGAGTAGGACATAACAAGGCCACTTGCAAGGATGATTGATTGATCGTCTCGTTTTGGCCTGCTTCTGGTCATTACATTTTGTACAGAGATTTACATCGTTCTTCATAGATTTTGTTCGAACTGCATGAAGATCCGGTCAGGATTTCTCTTTCGCTCTCTTTTTTATTTTTCTCCCTTGGTGTATAAAATAATAAAACTTAAGAAAAGGGTATGCTTTGTGGTTAATACGTTGGGATATTGGGTACAATACTCTCTCTAATTGTTGGTTGACTGCAGCTAAAGTTTCTTTATATCTCCGTCACTGGTGATACCAAACCTCTGTTAAACATCTGTTTTCTGTAACTAACACAAATAACAAAATAACTTCTAAGAACGCTTGCTTTCGGTGAATATGTAGACAGAGAAGCAAACTTAACATTACTTTCGTTCAGGATAAGAGGAAAAAAATGAAGGTGAATAAAAAACAAAGAACGACTTCTAAGTTACCAAACGGGTGTTTTCATAATGATATTAAATTTTTTTTGAGATAATTACATTAAAAGGCATTTTATCAGTTTACCTTTACACATATTTTTGACTTCATACTTTTTGGGTGTTTGATTTTATTTTGACACATTTTGCATGTGAGGTATTTTTTAACTTTCTTTATATTTCTACGGTTTTATCTTTAATGAAAATGTGAAAGTTCTTTTTTTATTGCTGTTGTTATTAGTTACACCCTTGTTGGTAAATTAAACGGAGCGAATTCGCAACGGTTTAGATTACAGTGAAGATCTGATTTGGTCAGAATAATTAAAAACCGGAGGTTTAAGGTAGGAAACATTTTTCAATCTGAATATGGGATTTGCAGTTAGAGGGAAGCATAAGCGAATCAAAACCTATTTTTCGTCCAGAGACAGTTGTAAAAGTCGTCGGATTGGAGCGTTGTGGGAGAAATAGCGAAGTTAATGGATAACGGGTTGTTGAAATTAATTCAGATCTAGTAAAGAAGACGACAATGATATCAATTGTGATGAATATGATAATGTACATATGGATAGAAAGTTATGGATAGTTTCTTTTGTCCACAAGCTCATTGACCATTTTCTGTTGTCTGTGTGAGTAGATAATTTTGTAGATAAACTTCTTTAACAAGGTTTGTTTGTCCATGAATCAATTTAGCATATTCAGTTGTCTATGTGGATAGAAAATTTGATAAATAAACTTGGAATACAATTTTTTTTTGGGATATGTCCATAAAACTTTATGTCAGTTAGGATATGTCCATAAAATTTTGTAGAGATCGTCTTATGTCCATCGCATGGAAGAAAAAGAGCTATGCGTCGACTGTCTTGGCAGAAGTCATCTTATGTCCATCGTCTTCTGTCCATTGTCTCCTGGTCATCGCTTCTTATCCCTCGATTATGTCCATCAAACTCATCCATACATAATTGTCCATCAATCTCTGTCTATCTTACCAATTGTCTGTCTATTATCCATCGAGTATATCTTCATAGTTTCGTTTCTACTGTTTTCATCGCTGAGACTTCTCTATATGAATTTGCACTACTTGTCCATCATATGCTATCCACAATGGCTTCTCCACGTGCGGTATATTGTAGTCCACCTTCAAAGTCACTGACTGTGTATCACAAATATTTTTATGAATTCTAAATTTCAAAATTCCAAAGTCAATGGTTTGTGACTTACTATTAAATCATGCGCGTCAATATGTAACTTTTTAAGAAAGAGTTTTGTTTGAAACCAAAACCAAAATTTCATAGTTTTGATCTCTTCATCCATACATAAGTGTCCACCAAACTTTTTCCATTTTATATTACATCTTCATAGTTTCATCCCCACTGTTTTCATCCCTGAGAATTTGTCTATATGAATGTGTCCATGTTTTGTATCGACTAAAGTGTGTCCATGTAGTTGTATCCTTTATTTTTGTATCTTTTATGTTTGTGTCTATCAGATTGTTATCAGTACAACTATTAATATTCTAAGACTAATATAACGAAAATAAAGATTATTTTAGACCAATTCATATGTCCATGACAAACCATCCATATGTACACTCTATTGCAGTGGATTGTTCCATCATCGTCTTCTCCACCAGAAGCAACAACAATTTTATAATCAGTTTGCAAAATTTAGTTTCAAATCTACAAGCTATCATTAACATGTATAATGAGAGATTCATCGCTAGTGTGGATAATGTCATCGTTATCCATTATGCCAGATCCCAAAAAAACTCCTCTTTCATGTTAAGAGGATAATATCCATTGCCTCATGTATCTCGTATCCATCATATACCTTTTTCAAAATCATGTCTATCGTCTCTTGTCATCTGTTGTCCATCGTCGCTTGCCTATGTTCTATCCATCGCCGCTTGTCCACCGTCTCTTGTCCAACATATACCTTCTTCAAAATTATTTCTAGTTCTAGATTTGTATCATCAGTGGTCATTTTGACATATAAAACTCAGCCAGATCTGATTTTGGATTGGTGGGAAATCATCCAACTCTTAAAAAACAAGAATTTAAACAATTGATGGAAGATAGAACTGGAAGTAGATTAGTTAGTGGATAAATAGAAAAATTATGGATCTGGACAAAGAAATATAAACTTGATGATAAGTGGAACTAATGAAAGTACCTTCCATGTCGATTGATGTTCTTAGTGAAAGGTTGCTTCATGTGGTCAACGGAATCGAGATATCAGTAACTGAACAAGTTGAACAAGGTGTCCCTGTCAAGGAAGATTTCCGGCGAAATGAGAGGCGGCGTTACTGAGAGGCGGCAAACTAGGGTTTTTATTAATTAGAGAAGAGTAAGATTAGTTAATTTTTTAACAGGAGGCGTAAAAACCTCTTTTAGTTACCAAAATGATGTAATGTGAAGAGGGAGACATTACTTAACATATCCCGAAAGTGTGTCAAAAGTCAGAAGTGTACCAATGTGAAAGCAAATTTGAAATAAGTGCCTTTAGACCTAATTAATGGGGGTGTATTGGATTAGAAATTTCAAAAGATTTGGTGGTTCTTTTAAAAATCTCTGTTATTAAATTAATAATTTCTAAATATCTCACCAAAATAAAAACTACTCACTATCAAAATGAAAGATGATGGCTTGATGAATCGTTCCGTTCATTATGAGATATGTTGAAGGGGGCTGGCTTTCGTTGTTTATCCAGCAGTTGAACTTTCAGAATAGAATAGCTTCATCCAATAGTAATCAACGGAGATTGATGTTATTGAACATGAAATTTATGTAAAACTAACTAAAGTCATTTAAAAATTTATGTTATTCAATCAACAATTTAGAAAAACTAAATCAAATCCACTATTATTAGAAATATTTTAAATAGTGAATTTAAAAAAATATTGAGTACTTTTAAACGATTTAGTGGAGTTTGTTAGTTAAACATATAGAAACCAAATTTTATTGTTTTAAATGGGGTTTCATATAATTTTAGTATCAAATCATATCAAATCATATCATCTAAAATTTCACGAAAACTCAAATCTTTTCAAATTCTCTAAAATTTTAGTTTCAATATACCCTCTTATTTCTTTTATCAAAGTGTTATTACACTCAAAGGTCTTTATAGCTATAGGTGGACTTTGAAGAGTTAAAAAGATAAAATTAATCTTTTTAAAACAATTAATTATTTTGACCTAATTTGATTTGGGGATATTGGTTCATTCTGTTTCTTTTCCATCTTTTTCCCTCTTTTGTTCATATTGAAAGCTTAAGTTTTTAAGGTTTGGATTTGGATCTAGGAATTGATTGCATCTAGGAATTTATTTGCTTAGAGAAATCATAGTAAACTCACCAAACTTCTTTGCAGCGAATTCACAAGACTTCTCCAGCATCTCACAAATTCAGTAACTCAACGGAAAACTTTGGCAGTGGCGATTTACTTGATTTCTCTATCGATTTGATCCACAAAAACAACCATTTTCTACAGTAGGAAATGATGGAAGGTATTCCAAATTGATCTATGTGCATTGTTATTTTTTAAGCAAGTGTTGTAGGTTTTTAAGTTTTAGAATTGCTTTTTTTCTGCCAGTAAATTTCCACCTCCCACTTCACCCACGTTTATCATAGTTAGAATGGATCCAAAGAAGACCTCAACAGAAACTTTCAAGTTTGAGAGTCAAAATCTTGAAAATGTCATAGATGGACAATGAGGCGTGGACAGTTTCCAATGGTAAAGGCGGATGTTTTTTTCTTGTTTATAATAACGACCACATGGTTGTGAGTTTGAGTGGATAAAATAGTGTGGATTAACAGTATCTGAACGAAGAAAAAAAGTAACATTTATCGCCTCAAAATTCAGGGATGCTATCTATGGTATGCATCTACAAATTGTTTGTATCTTCGACATGCTATACACACTCACTTATCAAAATAAATTTTTGCTAGAGGATTATAAAATACTATCAATGGATTATAATCTCTACAGTGCTTCTACACACACCTGTCCATAACATAGCGTCCATTACATGATGTCCACACACACTTCTTGAATACACAATATTCACTTAATAAAAGAATAATTGTCCATGATACAACACACTCATAAATATGTGCATTTACAGTCTTATATATGCCATCCACCAATGGTCTTTCATCATCACCTAGCTGAATAACATTGCTCATTTTATATAGACATATCTTTTGTGTACAATGTCCATCAAAACGTTTTTTTTATGTTTTAGAAGTCAAGTATATGTGTTATCCTGAATGTCAACTATTCATATCTATCAAACCCCATCTGTTGATATTGGTTAGCTCTAATATGGAATGAATATATGTTTTCATGTTTATCTACAAGATTATGTCTACACGATTTCATCCACGAAATTAAGATCGAAATTGGCTTTACAAATTAGGAGCATCCATCAAATAAGACTTGTTTGCACTGGTCGAAGTTAACATTTCGTGGATAGGTTTCCGTGGACATATTCTTATTGATATGGTGTTTTTGTTTAATTTATTGGATATTGATTGATAATCTTCTTTCAAAAAAAAAAAGTCTGGTAGGATTCTAGTTTTTGTTCATCGATATTAAACACAATAAAATGAACTCATGGATAAGTTCAGATGGACAAACTATCATGGATAGGTTTGATTTTGTTCAAAATGTTAGAGATGTTCAGATGGATAAATTAATATGGATATGTATTATTTTTTGAATGCATGGACATATTTATATAAACACATTAGGATGGACATATAAAAATGGTCTTGTTGTATTTTTCTTCTAGTTTATCAATACCAAACACATGTGCATAACGTGATGTTCATAAAAACATGTCCACTGAAACAAGTTAAGATATGACCATGATTGGAGAAGTCTCGATGAAGAAATTCCTCCAAGA